GTTTCATTCTATTCAGAGTGCCATTTTCTATCGAATAAAGTAAAAAAATATCGCGGGTACCGTTTAAAAATAAAAAGTTATCAATACACAAATATCGTTCTTTTATCTGAAAAAATAAAAAAGCTATAGGGGTGAGCCGCTTTTGAAAAACACCCGGTATATTTCAAAAATCACTCGGTAAACATGTTATGATATCGGAATGAAAACTTTACGACAAATCCACTGAGCGAAAATAATTGAAGATTTCAATTGAATAACATAAACTTTAGTAAAAAGGTTAATTGGAATTACCCTATGAAGTATGTAGGAATTGCCCTATAATTTTTTTTCGTATTTTACAAAAGTATTCGTTTTTGCGACGTGATTGACAATATAAAAACGACATTTTAACACCTAGGCATAAAAGTAAAGCACTTTTAGTATACGAAGTATAAAGTACGAAGTCGTATAAGTATAAAAGTACGAAAATATCGTATGATTGAAAAATAGGAACAGCGTCAGCGATGGCTATGAAATGAAGATCAGTGTCATTTTATATGTAAAATTATATTGGGAATTTCATCGATTGTCATTTCCAAGCCAACTGGACGCCGTTTTTTTTTTCGATCATACGGTATATTATTATAAACACAAAGTATATATATAAACACAAAGTGTCAAATTCAACGAGCGTAACCATAGTTTCTCGATATATAATTACTTACAAGGATTTATTTTTAAAACTTTTTATATTATTTGGAACGTTTTAAAATTGTTTAAAAATTTATTTGTGACTTTTGAAAAAAATAGTATATTCTATTCCGAGCAAAAATTACTTTTTGTGCCTCACCTGTATTGCCGTCAAACGTACAACCTCGCCACAAGAAGTATTATTTTTACTCCTAATAAAACAATATACTATTTTGCCGGTATATAACTTTCCTTAAGGAAAAAATTGGAATCACATTTGAATAATATAAAATAGTCAACATGAGATCTATATTTTTAGAAACACTTGCGGGTCACTCTGTACACTAATTCTAATTACCTGTATTGAACATTTTGTATCTGTCCATTTCCATCGATGTAAGAATAAGATCCTACGGTCTGACCATCGGCAGATTTGATTTCGTTTTTAGCTGACAGGTCATTAGCATAACCGTACGAATACTGACCAATTGAGTCCTGGGAATGATACTGGCTAGAATGGCGAGCCAATGGAATGGCTGTTAGAAAAGCTGGAGCAGTTATGCGGGTAACTGCGGGTACAGCCACTGATGGAATAACTAAATAAAAAATGTATATGTTACTGTAAATGTCCGAAATACGGTAAAACCTAGGATAACCGCGCTAAATCTAGGATTTACCAAAAGCATGTGGTAAAAGCCCGAAAACTATTTATTTTGCTTCCATTTCGGACTTTTACCGGACCCAAACTGTAAATCTTAGGGTTTACCACACCGCATTGAAGTAAAAGTACGAATAAGCAATTGGTAGTAAAACCAACCAACCCCACCTCAAATAACCACCTAACCAATGCATTTAACATCCCCCAAATAACCAGGCTAACCAATGCATTAACACCCTCCAAATAACCAGGCTAACCTAATTAGTTAATGCTTTTGGTAAATCCTAGGTTTAGCGCGCTTATCCTAGGTTTTACCGCATTTCGGACATTTACAGTAACAAATATAAGACTGATACGTTACAAAAATCGATATCGTGAAACGATAATCGTTAAAATTTCAATGCCTAAGTAAACAAAAACAGAGATATCTTGGTATATCGACATCCTTAATTTGTCGATATTGTTGCTATAAGAAAAATAATTCGTACTTTTACCAATGTGTGGTAAATCCTAAGATTTACTGATTGGGTCCGCCATCCGGTAAAAGTCCGAAATGGAAGCAAAATAAAGAAGTTTTCGAGCTTTTACCACTTGCTTTTGGTAAATCCTAGATTTAGCGCGCTTACCCTAGGTTTTACCGCATTTCGGACATTTTCAGTGACATACACAATCATTATATTATTATATATAACAAGTCTTAAAAAGTGCAAATATTTTTAGGGTGGTATATTTCGACCCCAGGAACATTTCTATGAGTTTTTTCGAAAAAAAAATGTTGAAAAATCGTGCATTTTCTTTTAAATTGTCCTGTATGTTTAGAAAACGTTTTAGAACTGCCTGTTGACCGCATATTTTTCCAGGGTATAGTTTTTTAATATCTGATTAATATCATGGTTACGGCTTTACTATATGGTTACGACACTAAAAGTGATGCAAATACAAAAAACGATCCGGTGGCTCTCAAAACTTTGTAAAAATAAACTCGGTTAATTTGGACTTATTTGAAAAACGGTAAAGAGATAATGTTTCTTTTACCGAGATTTACCAGCCCTGAGAATATTTGCACTTATTTAGGATCCACCCTGTATATTAAAATATAAAAAAATTTAATGGGAACAGTTATATAATAAATTTGTGGTTTAAAATAATTTAATTTTATCCGAATGAATTATTAATGTTTGACAAACTATAGCAGAAATTATCATCGATTTTTTTTTCAAAGGTTCCCGTGACACCCTTTTTTCTCGATAGTATGAGATTCTCTAAAAATCTATAAAATGTAAATATTAAGACATTTTAGATAATTTAATACACTTAGTAAGATTCAGAAAAAAAATAAAAAAATGTGAATTTGAAGAACAGTAATAACTCACCACCAGCTTTAGCAATGACGAAAAGTGCGGAAGCCAAAACGAAGAACTTCATGTTGAGTTTTGTTTTTTTTGGTTGCGCTGCTGAATGATAATTCAGTACTCGCCGAACTGCCTCAAGACATCTCGCCGGATGCTTTATATAGAAGACCGCGCCCGAAAAGAATAATTTTAATCCTGATCTGATCGAAAATAAACAATTAAAGAGCATCTAGTTTTTAATTTTGCGTTTGTGTCGTGTGCGGTAGTTGTTGTCTGATTGGTTCGCGGTTTATAGTATGGTGGCTAATGTCATGCGCTGTTTTTATTATAGATTTATTATACATTTTTATATTATGTGTTTCTTTAATAAATTCACCGGCACGAAAAATGGACACCTTGAAATTTAGATGTATTTTAAAGTTTTATATATTGTGTGCTAGTGGACCGATTTTCATGATTTTTTAATCAATTTGTAGCCAAACACCCACCCTTTCAATATTAAAAATCAAAGTTGCCACCTGTCAATTATATGATGGGGAAAAACAAAATTTTTATATTTTGATGAAAGTTTGAAACACCCTGTGGAGTATATTAAAAAATCAAGAAATTTTTAAAATCACTTTATCATCTCGGTGTATCTTTTCTCGATAGTTTGGTAAAAACCAACCCAAAAGGTTCATCTCAATAGCTTCATTTTTTTTGGAGATATTCGCTTTTGGAGAAAACAGTAACATTTTTTCGTATTTTTTACATTTTAACCATACCTTTGCTTTTGGTCCTAACCAACAGACCTGTAAAATCGTGTTTATGATTTATCTAACGTCTGTCTTTAAAAATCATATTATTATTGTCTGTTCGGCAGTTACTTTAGCAGAGATGGTTTTAAATCCAAAAGTTGATCTCTATCATGATCAATTAAAGCAGCAATAGCCGAAACTTCAGAACTTAAAACCATCTCTAGTAGAGTAAACATCAATAAACAATAATAATATGACTTTTCAGTAACAGTGCAAAAACAATAGACACTATTTTATAAGTGTGTTGATGAGGATTCAAAAGCAACAGCTTAAAATTGCTGTAATTCGTTGCTGTCTTATTTAAAAGCGAATATCTCCAATAAAAATAAAGCAATTGAGATGAATAAAACAACAAACTATCGACAAAAGACGTAGCTAGATCATAAAATAATTTTTAAATTCCTTGGTTTGTTAATATATTCTACAGGGAGTTTAAAACTTTCACTAAAATATCAACGTTTTGTTTGCCCTCGTATAATTGACAGATGCGATGTTTCATTTTTAATTTAGAAAGAGATACTAAAAATCCAAATAATTTAGCTACCTATTGCTTAAAAATCATCAAACTCGGAATACTAGTTCAAAAACTATTGAACTTTAAAATACATCAAAAAGAATTTGAATTTTTTACCAAACCACAGCATAAATAATATAAAAAATGTAACCTACAAACATCCTTCAAAACACAAAATACACGTTTAACCCACACTTAGTCAATGAACACTAAACAATTTCTAAACATCCTGTAAGAAAATCGATTCTATTGTTTAAAATCTAGTGCTGTAATTTTGAAATATTTTGTTTCTTGAATCGTACAATTATTGCATCTCTTGTACGAGCTGAAAGTTTTTAAATAAAACGCTGATTTTGAAGCTTACTCTTCAGATGAAAAATAAAATCAAATACTTCTGTATTTCCACATCTCGTGGGAAGCACAGCTACAGTCTCGGTAGCATTGAATGAGTGTTATTCTTTTTCAGGAACAACATACTATAACTCTGCATCTTTTAGTGCAAAGTGGTACAAGATGGCTTAATAGCAGTAAACAACTCATCGCAACGTTATTAGAATATTTTGAAGGGGAAAACTGTAGTAATGGCCGTTTATCTCCCTTAAGTGGTGTTAAAAAGGTGAGTTTTGTTGATGTAAATAATAACTTGTTTATATATTTATAATTACTTTATTATTTGGTTTCCTAAAATATTTTGATTAAAAGAAAATATATAAAAGTGGGCAACGCTGTGCCGGCCAAGCCTAGTCACGTGACTAAAAGTGTATTTGGTATGAACTGTATATTCCTAATAAGTCTAATCATTATGTTGAACATAAGATGCTAATTTAAGTTTTGATTCAATACCGTTTGATAGTTAACCCGTGGTACTGCCCGTGGTTTATAAAAAGAATATATTAGAATGTCAATTATAAACTTGTGTATAGGCTTGGTGCATTTCAATTCATTTTAAAAATACCAACCGCAGCGCCCGATACGGCAGAAATTAGAAATACATGCAAAAGTATTTCACGCAGACACGTTAGCTTTCATGTCGATCGCATTAAAATAATATTAAAATCGTGAGCAGCGGAGAAGATATAGCCTACTTCGGGTTTTTCTTATTATCGATTCTGAACCTTACTAGAACTGTGATATGCATGCGCAGAAGGAAATTTGAAGATTCTATTTCATTTGCTCATGTGCTGCAGAATTCTAGGAGGGTTCAGAATCGGTAATAATAAGAACCCGAACAAAGCTAATATGTAACTGAAAGGCTAGATCGAAGGAGCTATGCTGCCATCCTATCAAGGACCTGCACAAGTTGGTGCAGGATATAGAGGGATAAGAGAATGGGAGAAGGGGACAAACATAATAATCCTCACAAGCCGCAGTGTTTCCGGCAGAGAACGGCCCCTTATTATTGGAAAAAACATAAAAGTTTGTAGTATCTTTTGATATTTTTTATTATTTATTATTAAAAGCTAAGTTTTATCTAAACATTCTCAAATAATTGCATATTCCTTTAAAATATTCTAAAACAGAAGCAGATGAATTTCAAGACAATTGATCTAAAGCCGTAATTAAATTTGCCATCCCTAAAGATAGACTTTAAAGTATAAATAGAAAATTTACGTAAGTAGACAAAATCAATAAGGTAATTTCTTTTTCTGTACACCGAGCAGCAGACTATACCAAATCGATCCTTGCCGGCTTTGAACCAATCTACGTGACTTTTGCGTGTATTTTCGTACGGCCCGACGACGACAAGGACATGCATGGAACGAGTACATGTTTTCGGTTTAAGACCTTTATAAATTTATATACCTTTTCGGTCGTTTTAACTTAAATAAGGGCATAAATATGCGACCGGTATATAATTCCAGTATCGGAGAAAAATGCTAAAATAAATGACCTCAACGTCTTCTGTTTTGCTAAGGAAGTATGGAAGGTATTAATTAGCTTGAATTATTGTTTTGTATTTGTGGTCAATTTCAAATTTTAAGAAAATAATTAAGTTCATAAAATTGTTATAGAGATATATATATTAGATATTTGAGGTGGCTATCGACCTGTTCCACTGCGACCTTTTCAGATCTACTGTTGTCCACTTCTGACCCCTATGTTACATTCTACAATCCTATCTTTTTCAAAACTCTAACAACTCTTTGTCAATGGTCTATTATTTTTCATTGTCTAATACACTCAGAGGCAAAAAAAACGCAACGGAGTAATTTTTGGTCAAATTTAAAGTGTTATATTTTTGTCAGTTTTAGCCCTATTTTCATGAATCATCTTTAATTCGTAAACTACGTTTTTTATAAATTCTAGTATTTAGCATATTATACAGGATTAATCGTTTTTTTAACTTTAACTTTAAAACACCCTGTGTAATAATTGGGTGTGTAAATTTTCCTACTTTATAATTTTGCAGTCAGAACTATCACTCCTGCGCATTTTGTTTTTTGATTCATGTCAATACATGCCTTGGTTAATTTTTAAGAACGAAATGATCACGATCAATTTGCCATTTTCCAATTATCAACTTTTTGATGTAATTTTTTAATATGACGAGATTGCTTTGATGAATATTGTCGTAACGTCATATTACGCTGCATTGGATACTCTATACTAAATTTAAAAAAAAAACGTTAAAGGCTAACCATAACGATACATTCCTGGTTTTAATAAACATTTTTAACGATAACAGAACTATTATTTATTTATATATTATTTTATATTTCATTAAAGAAAGCATCTGTAATATTCAAGTAAACAAACAGAGAAAGAAAAGTAAAAAATACCCTAATACTTTGTATTGCCTCCCTTGGCTGCTATAACTGTCTATATACGTCCGTTCATACTATCATTGAGATTACATATACCATATTGCGTTATGCTTTCCCATTCTTCTTTAAGAACCAAGCGAAATACATTTAATGAAGCTGGTACCCGCTTCGCGATCACTAACCCTCCTGCCAAGCATTTCCTAAACGTCGAACATGATGGGCAGTTAATAACCAAAGCCGCCAGTGTCATATTGAAAAATAACTTTAAAAAGGAATGATAATTTTTGAAAAAATTGCAAATTGTTAATGGCAAGTTCATTTCGCTCTTAAAAATTAACCAAGGCATGTATTGACATGGTCCAAAAAACAAAATGCTCAGGAGACATGATATTGACTGTAAAATTATATTTTAGGAAAATTTACACATGCAATTATTGCACAAGGTGTTTTAAAGTTAGGGTAAATAAACAACCCCTCGATTTTTTAACCTAACATGCCAAATCCTAAATTTTATAAAAAACTGAGTTTACGAATTAAAGTTGATATAATTATATACAGCTTGCTAAAAAAAATCATGAAAATAGGGCTAAAAATAACAAAAATATAACGCTTTAAATTTGACCAAAAATTTCTCCGTTGCGTTGTTTTTTTGCATCTGAGTGTACAAAGAACTCCACATTTGCCAGGCTGTCGCACTGCCATAGAATGTGTTCTGACATTTCTTCTTCAGATTGACAAAATCTGCACAATGCACATGGCTTTGTCAATCAATTCCACCAGCTTTAGATACTTATTATGCTTACTATGTCCTGTTAATTAGATGCAGTAATCAAAAGAAATCTGTGTATTAGTGTGTATAGCACGCAATTCCATGACCTAACTTAATAAAATGTGGAAAGATTCAGCTGTTTCACTTAGCAACAAACTAAAGACTACTAATAAAAATATAAATGGGAAAGATTAGAGCTCAAGAGCGAGATAAAATCGAGGCTTTTGAAATATAGTGTTATTTGCACAGCTCACCGTACAAACATTTCAATTCTTGAACAAATTTATATCGAATCAAGAAGATTATATCAAGATCTATAAGTTTCCAATACCACTAT